CCATTGATTTACATATTGCCATACTAGTGTCTGTTGTGCTCTGCTGCCTTTCCCATCCTCCCCCCTCCCCCCTCCCCACCTCTACCCTCCCCTCCCCTCCTCTCTCTCTACCCCCTCCACTGTATAACCCTGAGGGTCTCCTTCCATTTCCATGCAATTTCCCTTCTCTCTCCCTTTCCCTCCCACCTCTCATCCCTGTTAAATGTTAATCTTCTTCTCCTGCTGTTCGTCCCTACTCTGATCTTAGTTACTCTCCTTATATCAAAGAAGACATTTGGCATTTGTTTTTTAGGGATTGGCTAGCTTCACTTAGCATAATCTGCTCTAATGCCATCCATTTCGCTGCAAATTCTATGATTTTGTCATTTTTTAATGCAGAGTAATACTCCATTGTGTATAAATGCCACATTTTTTTTTTTTTATCCATTCGTCTATTGAAGGGCATCTAGGTTGGTTCCACAGTCTTGCTATTGTGAACTGTGCTGCTATGAACATCGATGTAGCAGTGTCCCTGTAGCATGCTCTTTTTAGGTCTTTAGGGAATAGACCGAGAAGGGGAATAGCTGGGTCAAATGGTGGCTCCATTCCCAGCTTTCCAAGAAATCTCCATACTGCTTTCCAAATTGGCTGCACCAATTTGCAGTCCCACCAGCAATGAACAAGTGTACCCTTTTCCCCACATCCTCGCCAGCACTTGTTGTTGTTTGACTTCCTAATGGCTGCCAATCTTACTGGAGTGAGATGGTATCTTAGGGTGGTTTTGATTTGCATTTCTCTGACTGCTAGAGATGGTGAGCATTTTTTCATGTACTTGTTGATTGACTGTATGTCCTCCTCTGAGAAGTGTCTGTTCAGGTCCTTGGCCCATTTGTTGATTGGGTTGTTTGTTCTCTTATTGTCTAATTTTTTGAGTTCTTTGTATACTCTGGATATTAGGGCTCTATCTGAAGTGTGAGGAGTAAAGATTTGTTCCCAGGATGTAGGCTCTCTATTTACCTCTCTTATTGTATCTTTTGCTGAGAAAAAACTTTTTAGTTTGAGTAAGTCCCATTTGTTGATTCTAGTTATTAACTTTTGTGCTATGGGTGTCCTATTGAGGAATTTGGAGCCTGACCCCACCGACTGTAGATCGTAGCCAACTTTTTCTTCTATAAGACAGCGCGTCTCTGATTTGATATCAAGCTCCTTGATCCATTTTGAATTCACTTTTGTGCATGGCGAGAGAAAGGGATTCAGTTTCATTTTGTTGCATATGGATTTCCAGTTTTCCCAGCACCATTTGTTGAAGATACTATCGTTCCTCCATTGCATGCTTTTAGCCCCTTTATCAAATATAAGATAGTTGTAGTTTTGTGAATTGGTTTCTGTGTCCTCTATTCTGTACCATTGGTCCACCCGCCTGTTTTGGTACCAGTACCATGCTGTTTTTGTTACTATTGCTCTGTAGCATAGTTTGAAGTCTGGTATCGCTATACCTCTAGATTCACACTTCCTGCTTAGCATTGTTTTTGCTATTCTGGGTCTTTTATTTTTCCATATGAATTTCATGATTGCTTTCTCTATTTCTACAAGAAATTCTGTTGGGATTTTGATTGGCATTGCATTAAACCTATAGAGAACTTTTGGTAATATCGCCATTTTGATGATGTTAGTTCTGCCTATCCATGAACAGGGTATATTTTTCCATCTTTTAAGATCTTCTATTTCTCTCTTTAGGGTTCTGTAGTTTTCATTGTATAAGTCTTTCACCTCTTTTGTTAGGTTGATTCCCAAGTATTTTATTTTTTTTTTTTTGATGATGTTTTGAATGGTGTGGTTGTCCTCACTTCCATTTCAGAGGATTTGTCGCTGATATACAGGAATGCCTTTGATTTATGCGTGTTGATTTTATATCCTGCCACTTTGCTGAATTCAAATATTAGCTCTAATAGTTTCTTTGTAGAGCCTTTTGGGTCTGCTAGGTATAGAATCATATCATCTGCAAATAGTGATAATTTAAGTTCTTGTTTTCCTATTTTTATGCCTTTAATTTCTTTCGTCTGTCTAATTGCTCTGGCCAGTGTTTCGAGAACTATGTTGAAGAGAAGTGGAGAGAGAGGGCATCCCTGTCTTGTTCCAGATTTTAGAGGGAATGCCTTCAGTTTTTCTCCATTCAGAATGATGCTAGCCTGAGGCTTAGCATAGATTGCTGAATTCATGAATTTCTTAAATTATATTTGACAATCATATTTGGTTGAAACAAAAACTTAGGACCTCATCAATGTGGTGCTTAAAGTACATAGAGGATGTCTTTAAAACAATTGTTTGTGAAAGCAGGGAGGCCAAGGAACCTAAATGGAATTAAGGTGCTTACCTTTCAAGTGGTCAAACTTTGTTACCAGGTCAAAGTAAGTTATGCATGGAGGTTAAATTGCACACCCATGCATGCATACAGGCACAAGTGACTATAAAGTTGGTGAAATCTGAATGAGCTCTGTGTGTGCCAAGGCCAATTGCTTGGTTTTGGTATTGTCCTCTAATTACAAAGATAGTCACTTTGCAGTACTGGGTAATGAGTGTATGGGATCTCTCCATACTTTTTTCTTTCTTTCAGTGAATTTGTGATTATTTCAATATTAAAAAGTTAAAAGAATTAATAGAATACAGTTTATCTTAACCTAACAGAACTGTTTTATTTCAATAATTCAGAACTTCTAAAAGTTCACGTATTTACTGACAACTTTTATCATACTGCCACGTTTTAATGAAGTGTAAAATATACTTTATAATGCACTTCTTTCAGTTTTATCCACTTAATTAAGGGGAACTTCTCATCACTAGCACAAAAAAGACAACTGGTATCATTTATTATAAAATAAATTGTATCAAAAATTAATACAATGGAAACAATGTTTTAAATTTGTGAGTAGATGCTGTCTCTCTGTGTGTCTTTGTTAAGTATCAGGACAGCATTTAAAGACTTTGTAGCACTGAACAGAAACAGTGCTGGTGATGTATTCTGATGGACTCAAAAATAGAATGGGAATGACTTTTCAGTATGTAACAATGTTTTTAATGCTGTGTCCCTTTCCTTCTGAAGGCATCTCTCTTACCCATAAAGATCTTTACTTCTCGCTTCAGGAAACTGGAATTGCTGGTCACAGTGCTGGTTCAAGGAGGCAGATTGACCTATTGTGAATAACACATATTTCAGAAATCAAATGGAACTGGATTCAAGCCTGCTAGTTAGCAGTTGTCACATGTTTTAGTCAGTTTGTGTCACTGAGATCAGAAGACCTGACAAGAACAACATAGAGAACGACAAGTGTATTTCAGCTCATGGTATTAGAGGTTCAGTCCATGGTCAGCTGACTCCATAGCTCTGGGCCAGAGGTGAGGCAGACCATCATGTCAGAAGGGCAGGGAGGAAGAAAGCAGCTCAGGACCTGGTAACCAGGAAGCAGAGAGAGCACCACACTCAGCAGGGACAAAATATAAACCCCTAAAATCTACTCCCAGTGACCTGCCTCCTACAACTATACCCTACTGCCTACAGTTACCACCAGTTAATACATATCAGTGGATTAATAGGTCACAGGACAGGTCTCATAATCTGATTTTTTCACCTCTGAACATTCTTTCATTGTTCTGTATATGAGCTTTTGGGAATGCCTCAGATCTAAACTGTAACACGTGTTAATCACTGTGAGCCTTTTGTCCCAGCCACAGTAAAGATGAGGTTAGTTGTAGAGCCAGTGAGGATGCACACAGGGACAACCAGATTGGGCTTGGCCCTGCCTCTGCACATGATCAGTTATGTGGCCCCTTTCTTATCCACATGATCAGGATAGCAGTCCAACTTCAGTCTTCAGGTTTTGTGAGGAATGAATGAGTTAAATGTGTGGCTGTTGTAAAGTCAGCTGTCATTGTGGGGAGACTAGGCCCATAGTAGGTGTAACAACAGTACATAGGAATTGCTGTCATTTCATCCCCTGATGTATTACTCCTCACTGGTGGTCGCAGACTAGGCAACAGCCATGAATCAAAGTCCTCTCCTATGAGGCCACAGGAGAGGTTCTTCTTTAGGGGAAGGTTCTGGAATTGCAGAACCAGAGGATTTCTCAGGGTGGGCTGTGGACAGGTGGAGAGCATGTGCCAGGATTGGAGGAAAGGCCAGAGCCTTGGGGAAGGAAAGCAAAAGCCAGGATGGGTGAAAGGAGAGATCCACTCACAAGTTTTACCAGTAACACGAGCAGCTTTGCTCCCAGAGCAGTACTTGTGGGGAGGGCAGGATGTGCCAGGGGAGAGCGCTCTGGCACCCCAAGGGCCTAAGCAGGAGGAAGCTGCTTCTATGGAGTCCACTGGCCCAGGCCAGTGAGGAATGGTATATGAGAGCAGGCCAAGCCCACTGGCAACTGGTTTATCTTTGCAGTTCCTAAGGGGCTTTCCCAGTGTCTTCACACCTTGATGTTCTTGGTCCTTGATCTTTATACTCCCAAAGGGGAGGAACAGGCAGCCATTCTTATTTTCATTTCCAGCATGAGGTACCTGAGCCCATGGGAGAGCAGAGCACCTGGCTCAAGGCCCAACAGGGAGTGCAAGCAGGAATCCAGACAGCTCCTCTGTCTCAGGACCTCGCATTTCTGCTTCAGAAGCCATGGTCTTGCTTCATTCCCACATGGGGAATCATATTTTGATGCCCAGTTTCCAGAAGGCAAATAGCAGAGGCTCCATTTCTGCCTGTCTGGTCTAGAGTCTCCTGTGGCAGTGGACCAGGGAATCCAGGGTGCACTTGCTGTCCACCTTCTAAGTGTGAAGCAGCCTGTGTGGCTCACGGTGACTGCTGAAAAGGTATTGAATGAATTAACTGCTGAAAGTTGAGTGAATCAAAGGATGAACAGATTTGGCCTGAGAAAAGCCACTTTATTTCACTCTGCACCGTCACCTGGACTCTAAACCAGGGCACATGACACTCCTTCCCAACAAGGACGCTTACTCTGTTGTGGTCTGTTTGTGTTCAGGCCCATCCGGGAAAGCGAAGACGAGGAGGACGAGGAGAAGAAGGGGCGAGGCTGCTCCCTGCAGTACCAGCATGCCCTGGTGCGCGTCCTCACCCAGTTTGTGACCGAGTCATCTGACTTGGGTCAGCTGACCTACATGTTGGGCCCAGACTGGCAGTTTGACATCACTGACCTTGTGACAGAGTTCATGAAGGTGGAGGAGCCCAGAGTCGCCCAGTTACAGGATGGCAGGACCCTGGTTGGTGGGGAGCTGGGAATCACCACTGTTCAGGTACAGGGGGTTCATGTTTTGCCACCTCTCCAACACCAGTACCTGCTGATGATGCAGGCAAATGCTGCCATGGAGGGGTGTGCACATGTGTGAGGGTGATTGTGCAAATGTGCAGATACCGAGTCTTCCTGTAACAGAATCATGAGAAGCAATAGAGTATTCACCAATTTAAATAACCTAAACACATTTTGTATTTTAGAGAGGGTTGAGAAAAATGCCTGATCTGTTTTTACCAGAGAAAGCTAAATGAAACACATAGCATTAGTCACCCTTTTCCCAATATGACACTTTTTTTTTTTTTTTTAATCTGTACTAGGAGGTGGTAGAACTTCTGAAAGCAAATTTCTCCTCAACCTTGACATTTAACCATTTAGCTATATTATACCTTTAACAGTAGGCAATGATTTTTTAAAGCATGTATTTGGCTATAAATCACAAAGAATCCATAGTTAAAAGCTCTCTATTTTCATCATACTAATAGTAAAATAATTTCTAACTGATTTTGGCAAGATTATAAAAGAAAAAGTCACAGCTTGTTTTATTTTTGCAAATTTAAAATATTGCTGCTCATAGTTAATTATGTCTTATTTTAGGTGTTGTCAAAGTTAATTTCGACAAAGTTGAATTAAATATGTAACATTCTATATTCGTGTCTATTTCTGTGTAATGTATTACCACCAATTTAAAATTTCAAGACAACAGTAGTTTATTATGTTATATTCTGTGGGTACACAGTCCTGGTGGGTAGGCTGGTTCTATGCTCAGGGTTCCTAAGGCTGAGATCCAGGTGCTGGCTGGGCTTGGCCCTTAATCTTGGAGTTTTGGGAACTCATTGGCTTTTAATCTCATTCAGTTTCTTGGAAGAACTTAGCTCTTTTATAGTTATAGCACTGAGGTCACAGTTTCCTTACTGTCAGCCAGGTGTTGCCCTGTCCTCTAAGAGGACCCCTCCATTCCTTCTCACATGGTCCCTCTCTCATCAGTAATGGCTGGATTCAGTCCTTCTCACACTTAGAGTCTGAATTCTCCTGCTACCAGCTGGGGAACACACTCTGCTGTTAAGGGTTCCTGTATAATTCGGGAGACCCTTGTTTTAGAGCCAGCTATGCCATATAACAGTGTGATTGTAGTGTGTTTTCTCATTGTGTTTGAAGGTTAAGGTCAACATTTAGGGGACTGTTCTAGAAATTGTGCCTTTGACATATTCCTGTCCCAGTTTCAGTCTCCTGTGGTTGCACATTATATGGTAAAGTGGTAGGAACGGCTCCTTAGGACATGACTATTCCCTGCCCCACTTTAACTGTTCATCCAGTTATCCCACAGTGGTCCACACAGTGATCATATTGTCCCATGATAGGCATCTAACCTGCCCATTGGAAGGGATGTGAGCAGGAGAAGAGGGCTGAGCACCATTTACTTCAAAAGAGTTGACCACAGGCCACTGCTTTCAAAGCCTGAATGTCAGTTGTTGGGAAAGCGCTACTCTTTGAGTGCTGAGTACCAAGGCAGGCAATTTGAGTTATTGCCTCTAACTTAAAACAAGCTTATCTCAGAAAATACACTGTTGTTATCATGGCATGAATCCCAAGAAAGGAAGTGGATTAAGGTGACCTTTATAAAACTCCTTCAAGTGCTAAGTTTAATTGGACAATGGCAGGATACCTACATAAGCAGTCTTCCTGTGTGCGCTCTGTAGAGCACTGCAAAGTCTCCCGAGGCCCCGCAAGCTCCAGGACTTGAAATTGTCACGTGGGCAGAGACCGCGCTTTCTCACTTACTCCCCAGGTCCTCTCCCCTCTCTCTGACTCCATCCTGGCTGAGAAGACAGTGATTGTCCTGGATGACCGCATCACCATCGTGGAGCTGGGTGTGCAGCTGGTGGCTGGCTTGTCCCTCTCCCTGCAGCCTCACAGGGTGGACTGAAGGGTCATCGTCTCCACAGTGGCTGCCCAGGATGTCCTCCAGGCCCCACAGCAGGTGAGAGCCTGGAGGCCTGTGCCCTGGTCCATGGTCAGCTCCTCTCCAGGTCGTTTTGTCCTACACAGAGGGTCAGCAGGGTCTCGCAGCCCCTTGCTGTTCTTGGAGCTGCTCCCTACATCTCCCCCAGCACATTGGATCTTGGAAAGCATGTAGAGACGGAGGCTCATTTCCTCTGCCATTTGTTCTCCAGCAGGATAACCTGTGATAGGCACAGTCTGCTATTGGACTGTGAGCTGAGGGCCATGTTTTTTTTAACTTGGCCAAACCAAATGGGTAATTTTTGATAAGTGCATCTTGCTAAGTTGCTGAGACTGGCCCTGAACTCATGATCCTCCTGCCTCAACCTCCTGTTTGGCTAGTATTACAGATGTGCATCACTGTGCCTGGCTGTTGCAAATCATTTATAAAGATAACTGAGGCACTGGGCCGTTCAAGTAGTCCAACTTCATAATCCATAGTTTACCAAGAAATTTCCCAGAGTGTGTTTTGCTTCATCAGCATTGGCTTCCTAATAAAGAAGGTTCAAAGCAATATTATCTTTAGCAGTAGCCTGATTAGTTGCACCTAAAATTGATTCAGATAAATTGCCTGATCTTTCAAAGTGTTTATAGAAAGGTCAAAGTCAAATTATTTGATATGGCATGCAATAAATTAATTTACACTTTAGTGCATTCATGAAAGCTTATTATTTATTTCTCATACCAGTGGAGCTCCTGCAGATTATTGATACCAGTTCAAGGCATGACAAGAACTGGTAAAGATTATAAAATGGAAGATTTTTTTCTACATATACTTAAAAGTGTTTATGTAGGAAATCTTGCTTATGTTGTAAATTTGAAGGGAGCTGATCATGCTTTGATTTTGTTTCCCTCAGGAAGCCATAGTCAGTTCTTGGATTTTGTTCAGTGATGGCTCCGTGACACCTTTAGACATTTATGATCCCAAGGATTTTTCCATAACTGTCTCATCATTGGATGAAATGGTGGTGTCTGTCCAGCCAAACTTGCAGTCCCAGTGGCCGATTGTGGTTGTAGAGGGCGAAGGACAAGGGCCCCTGATCAAGTTGGAGATGATGATCAGCAAGCCTTGCCAGAAGACCAAGAGGAAGAGTATTCTTGCTGTGGGTAAAGGAAGCGTCAAGGTCAGGTTTGCACCAGGCATCAAGGAGGAGCACAGAGGAGGCAGCAATGACATTGAGGGCATGAACCGGGAATACAAAGATCACCTGAGCAACTCCATACAGCAGGAAGGGAGCCAGGAGCGAGCAGTCCACGAGTGGCTCCAGTGTGGGGGCCCTGCTGGCCCAGAGGACAGGACCAACAGGAGCACAACCCTGCCGCTGCCTGGGGAAGGGAAGGACAAGAAGTTGCTCAAGAGTGGTTTTGCAGATGCCTTCACCAGCTTCCCCACCCAGGGGAAGTTTCCAGAATCCAGTAACCCTAGTGACCTTACAGAGGCCTCCAGCAGCTTGACGGACTTGGAGATCGGCATGTACACCCTGCTCTGCATCTTCTGCCTGGCCATCCTGGTCTTCCTGATCAACTGTGTGGCATTTGCCTGGAAGTACAGACACAAAAGGCTTGCGGTGAGCGAGCAGGGCAACATCCCCCACTCCCACGACTGGGTCTGGCTTGGGAACGAGGTGGAGCTTTTGGAGAACCCAGTGGACATCACGCTCCCCTCAGAGGAGTGCACGACCATGATAGACAGGGGGCTGCAGTTCGAGGAGAGGAACTTCCTGCTGAACGGAGGTTCCCAGAAGCCCTTCCACAGTCAGCTGCTCATACCTTCTGACTCTGTCTATGAGAAAGGGATGAAAAACGAACCTGTAAACTCTTCTGGCCCGAAGAGGAAGAGGGTCAAATTTACTTCCTATACCACCATCCTCCCCAAGGATGGGGGCCCGTACACCAACTCCATCCTGTTTGACAGTGATGACAGCATCAAGTGGGTCTGCCAGGACATGGGGCTGGGGGACTCACAGGAATTCAGAGACTATATGGAAAGACTGCAGGACCAGATGTAAACTCCTTTCTTATGTTGTATTCACCTTTATGCCTTCTGTTTTCTGAAAGGTGGAGCAGTGAGTCTGATCAGCAATAGGGTGATTTCACAAAGCTGAGTTCGTGGAGGTCTGGAGGGAGCCCTTTCTAAGCATGTTTCAGAGGCCTGGAGAGTTACATCAGCTGGGTTTTAAGCTGGGAAATGCCTCTAAAACAGCTACATGTAGGGACTGGAGGAATTCTGTGACAACAAACAGTTTTGCCTACAGCCTGGTACCAGCTCAGTGCAGGTAGAGTAAACCCGACCCCACAGACATTGTTAGTCATCTCATGGCGAATGGCTGTGTGTAGTGAGGAGAGAGTTGGATGGTGATTTTCCTGTTCCTAGACCTTTTAAAGCACAGTGGGCAGGTACAGCCTGTGGCCTGGGTTTGGACACATGAGAGGTGACTGAATGTAGCTATCCTTATTTGTTAGGAGCGCTGCTCAGTATTTTTATATACATTTCCACCTGCACCTGTTCCTTTGACATCTGGAATTTTTTTTGAAACATGAAGAGAAGAAATTTTAGTCTTTGAGATCTGTGTGATTTACAAATGAGTTTTATTCCCTGGGAATTGCCGCGTCACGTCATTTCCTGGGTCTCCATACAGGATGTCAGGTTTTTCAAGTATGGAGCACATCTTTCTTTAGTGACAGCATCTAAGAAGCTTATTCTCACTTTCTTTTTCATACCTTTTGCTGTTGAACTTTCTTGGGTATGACTGGGACAGGGGTTTTGCTTAAAATGTTGATATCCAGTGAGGGAGGGTCATCTCTTTACATTTTTCTATGTGAAGTTTAAAACAACTTGAAGAAAAGTTGTGAACACACACATTTATTTTTGTCCTCTGTTTGCTAAGAATCCTGGGGAGCTCCTGGAGTACACTGCTGAGGGCAGAAAGCCCTTAGGGAGCAGTGATTATGCAGGTTCTTTGTAGTCAACACAATGTACCATCCAAACTGAATCTAAAGGTAGAATCCATCTACATCTGCGCTGAAGGGAAATTGTCCAGGAAATAGCTTCCAATTAAACTTTCCATTTTACCAGAAAAAAAGAAAATTAAATGATGTTTCAAGTTAGCAATACATATAAATCATCCATACAATAACTATCTTCACAGGTGTACGTTTGTGGGAAAAGCAATGGGTTCCTCCCAGAATTCACAAAAATAAATGACTGTTCCAGAGCCCAGGAAGCAGCTATTATGAACAAAATATAGCTATTGAAAAATCAAAGTGCTAAGAGGAAAAAAGTGATTCTTGTATAATTTTTAAATAAAAATATTTAGAATCATCATGAGTCATCATCTCAAAGCAAGAATTTCAGATTAGCAAAATGTGATATTTTTATTTATTAAGATGCTATAGGTGGAAAAGCAGACACTGGAATAATCTGTCTCATTATGAGTTAACTGAGCCATTTGCATCCCTAAGAAATGGAATTTGAAAGGCCCAAAGTAGGAGGCACATGCAGCAAGTCACCCTTACTCCCAGTGGATGACAACTGAGCTATTCAAAAGAGAATTGTTTTCATTCAATTGCTCTCTTATTTTAGATTCTCATGGATGGAAACTTGACAACTCAGCCTCTTCTAGCCATGAAGCAGCAGCCAGAAATTTCTCCTATCCTATATCTCTTGAATGCCACAAACAGGGCTGAAATTGCAGGTGGTATAGTGGTGACCTCAGAGGCTGGTATTGAATTGGTTTTATAAGTATTTAAAATGGCACTTAGGAGCTGAAGCCAGGGACTGCAGAGAGCTTCAACTTAACTGGAGAATGAAGTAGAATACCTAGGCCTTAACTGCAAAAGGAGTTTGCAGGACAGCTGGCGCCTTTTAGGAAGAGCTCCCTGGTTAGCCAGTGGCCTTTCAGAAGGCTTAGTGGGAAGGTAGCACAGAACAACTGTGAGGACAGAAGAGAGTTCATGCCTGGGATGGATGCACAGCCAAGCTATCCAGGAAGTCTGGCTCCTTCTAGGAGATGTTTTCAGTTCCATCTTCTTTTGGAGCTTCAATATCAAAGAAATAATGGAGGTCCTTTCTGAAAGTGAAGAGTGTGAATTGAAGGGGAGGAGTTTACTCAGCAGACTGCCTCCCAACCACTGGCACATCAAGACTTTGGTGGGGGCATAGTTTGGGAGGAATTGCCATTGTCGTGGGGAGCATCACTAAGGAACATACAAATCGGAGCCTTTCCTGAGGTGGGAACATGGGGCAGGGACAGAGAGCAAAAAGGGAGTATTGGGTTGTGCCAGATCAGCCTAAATGGAGCTGGATGCTGACCATGATCCTGAAGAAGCTTCTGGTGGACAACACAGACTCACCCAGCATGAATCAGCGCCCATATAGTCACCTGTGCTCCTTCACATTAGAGTTCATTTAGTTCAACATGGAGGAAGTCAAATGGAAGATCATGGGAAAAGGTCCCTTTTACCATATAATATCTACTCACAAACACATATACATATGTACACAGGTGTGTGCTTGAAGCTGAAGAGTCAAATGTAGACCATTTAGTGGGACTCGAGTGACAGTTGTTTTCAGATGTGGCATGGACATCTTTCATTGAAGTATTTTATGCTCCTATTTACTGCAGAGTATAAACCATGGGTTAGATCACCTTGTTTTCCAGCTAGTCAGCCACAGCTATTAAGCACTACACCTCAAGATACCTAAACCCAAATGGGAACAACATAAACTATTAAGCCTTGAACTCCAGTTTCCAGTCCCCATGCTTTCTCCTGTCTTCATTCTCTGGGTTTTCATGGTTGAGATATTCAGATCCTGGGGCTCGATGAATAACCTAGCTCCAGGTTGTCAAGGGCTGCCAAGTCCCCTTTTCCCCATAGAGTGGCATGCTCAGACTCCTCCTGAGGGAGGAACCAGCAGGTGTTTGGAGAGGGCTGCAGGCTGTGGACATTGGTCGCAGGCAGGGAGCTTGAGATGTGAGCTGAGGACTGCGTTGCTTGGAGCAGTTGAAGATGTGCAGTCACTGTCTCCAGGTCCCAGTGTTCCTCTTTCAAGTCCAGAGTACAGGGACCAAGAAGCAGCTGCCAGACCAAAAAGCCTGCTTTAAACATAGGTGTGCTGCATTTGAGAGAGCAAGAAGAGGAAGAAAAAGATCCAGCAAACCCCAGAATACTCTGTGTACCAAGAGGAGGAACATCACCTTCCTAGCTGTTGCACACAGTGGCCAGGGTTAATTCCCAGCCTACAATAATCCTCCATATCTACACAGAAAGTTTCGATTTATGCACATGAATGCAGTGAAAACATGGATGGTGTTTCTGTCCCATCACCATATCTGGAGATATGTACTTGCTGATTTTTAAGTTTTAAGAAGTCCACCTTTGTGTAAATCGATCAGCTTTTTAGAAAGGGATCTTTCTAATATTGGCAAATTGAGACCATAGTAAAAGTTTTGTCAGCAAAGATCCATTCAGTCCACTGAGGGTGGCTTCATCTGAATCCTTCATGCCACTGGCACCATTGGGCTTTCTACTCTAATCATCTTAAAAACTATCTTAATTCTCCATTTTGGTCTCTGTAAATGACACCTCAGATGGTTTATAAACTTAGTAACCTTCCTCTCAATTAAAATTACATATGTGTTCTGTGACGTACATCACCTGTATGTAAAGGGACAGGTTGGATGGTGGAAAAGCTATGCTGAAATGTGCATATTAGATATTTTTGTATGTAATATAGACATTACACTGAAACTCTGAGAGGTGTATCAGAATAAACACATTTTAAAATAAAAAGCATGCAAAACTGTAGCATTTAAATGTACAGACCTCCAACTCAAAAATATCTCAACTGATGATGGGAAAAACATTAGGACCTGACATCGTGAAATGCATTGAGTTAGGAATTCTGGCCTGGAAAGGACGTGGCTCATGTTGGCAATGTTGATGAAACTTGCTGGAATATTTTGATTTTACTCTTCATTACTTTTGGATCTTTCCTTTTTTCCTGGAAATATTTCAGAAATAACGTGACTTCACTTTTTCAGCATATTGGTATATTCTAACCACAGGGTAATTCATCGTTTTTAACATGAAAATAAACATTTAAACATTCTTCAATTGTTTCATTATTTTACCTACATGTTCCTTTTCTAATTTCAACTTCTATATGATTGGCTATATTTATAGATACATATATTTTTCTTTTCAGCCATCATCCTTGATGACGTAATAAATGGACACCAAAACGAAATATTCCCTAAAAGTCAAAGATGACTTTGAGATTTAAAAATTTTCCCATTTGTTTTCCTAACAGGCTGGGGAAACTTTCCAGATGTCTTACAAAAAGGACTCATTTCTCATGTCTCTGTTGAGGGTCAGACCACCTTGAAATCAGGGCTAAAGTGCAAGGTGCAGTGGGTGTTTGGTAGTGTGATAATTGGCCACCCTCTTGCTTTCCCTGGTCAGTGACTTGGTTTTGTGGATGCATTTGGGCAGTAGCTTTGCATGGGCTTGAGCCTGGGTGCTGAGGATCCAGATGGAAACTCTAGAGATGCAAATGAGACATAGGACAGCTGGGGCCTCTGCTTCGAAGATGAGATAGCTGGTTCATTTGAGGGACTGGTGGGTGTGTTGGCCAAGTACCTAAGGCTGCAAGTGCATTTCTTGAAACTGCCAGTGTTATCTTTGGCACTTTGGCAAATACTACCCATTGTTCCCATGGTGCAAATGAGTGTCTCCGGCAGTAACTTGGCATGTCGTAAATGTTTCATGCCACACCTGGTCTCTCATCAGACCCTTCAGACCCCTGTAAATGCTGGCTTGTGAAATCTAGGCTGTGAGGTAGCAGGCTTTCTTGCTTATTTATAAAATGTTTGGCTCATTTGGCAGCAAATGAGCCAAAAAACTTTGCTAGGTATACAAACCCACCCCCATCAGGAATATTTTTCAGCACTTGGGTAATTGTTACCCACTAACAGCTTTCAAAGCCTCTTTCTCCTTGAAACATGGGAAGTCTGAGCCACAGAACCCAGATATCTTGTCCTAGATCTCAGTGTGTCTGTTCACAGTTTATATCTCAAAAAGAGAAGGAACAAGAAAGAAGTTTGAAATGAGATATGTAATACAGGGATCACTTTGTATTTAATTTTTTGTGCATATGAGCACAAAATGCAAAAACTGTATTTCAGTTTTTTAAAATATTAAAGTCCTTAATACTTGTTAGTTTCATTATGACTTTATACAATTTGGATAGGTAATTGAGTGTTTTTGTTGTTTGCTTTTAGAAATTTCTAAAAGTATAAAAGTAGAGACATCTAACCTGGGTTACAGTGTTCACAGACTGTTCCATGGTTCAAACAAGTAGGACACCAACACTTTCCAGGTGGAAATTCAAGTTCATTCAGGGACATTATCTTCCCAGTTTAAGGAAGCAATAATGTTGTCAACTCAATGCTGAACAACCTTCATGTTCTTTGAAATGTCTTCAAAATTTCTTTGGCTTTAATTGCTCCTCTTGGTCAGTTGTTCAGATGAAACATTGTCATTGTATGTTAAAGATTGAATCTCCTTAAGATGCTGCAGAAACTGAGAAGACAATGGCTTTTTCATACATCTCCACCGCCCTCTGCAGTGATACATTTAGAGTTGGATGCTGCTTTGGAATTTGGGGTCTGTGTGATGCTGAATTTTTTTATCTGTTTGAAAATATTATGGTCCCTTCTTCATATCTGTAGTACTTGATTCCAGGTCCCCCTGAAGTTACAAAAATCTGAGGATGCTCAAGTTCTTTATGTAAAATAAGGTATAGTAGGATTTGCCTAGAACCTATACAACCCTCCTGTAGAGTTGAAATGATTTCTAGATTACTTATGATTCCTAACACAATGTCAATGCTATGTAAATAGTTGTTATACTGTACTGTTTAGGGAATAATTACCAGGAATAAGTATTCATGTTTAGTACAGATGTATTTTTTTTTTTTTCTGAATGGGTTGATCTGGGTTGAATCAGTGGATGTAGAAGCTGTGGATATGGAGGGCCATTGTACTTCTTCAGGATGGCGGAACTCACTTTTGACTTGGCACTTCTTTTTCACTTCCTTCTACCAAAAGAGCACATGGGATTTTCTACTTTCCATTCTAAGGTTGGAGCTGTTCCCTCTCCTGTAAGAATCTGACTCACTGAATGAAATAGCTTATGTTGTATTCACTTCACTCTAAGATGCTTCCTTAGAGAATGTGTCTTTTCTCCTGATCACTATACACTTATTTCCCGTGTATATTCCTAGATGGTACAAGCATTTCCAATCCATGAACATCGTGGGCTGACAGGAAGCACACCACTCCTGCACTCAGCATCCATATTGCCAATCTCCACTGGACACTTCTGGAAACATGCAGTAAACCTTCCACCATCCCAGTTCTCCTGTGCAGTGAAGTGTTCCACAGCCACCAGTTCAGACACCAGAAGATGCCAGGACTGGCAGATGTCCCTCCTCTTAGCACAGATCCAGTGGCTTCCTTCCTTAGTTGTCCTCCTCTGGAGCCTTACTTTGGACTTACAGCAAGGGTGACAATTCAGAATTCAGAGTGGATTCTGAGAACAAACCCCTTGTCCAGGGCTCCATTACGAGATATTCTAGGCCTTCTCCACATATCGTTGTTGGTTTAAGCAAACATCAAAACTGAAAGGCAGGATCTGAGAGTGGAGAACTAAGGAAAGAAATGCTTGAGCTCAGAGGAAAAGACGTGAGACCCAGTGAGAAGCAGCACACCCACACGCTGAGCACCACACTGCAGGGCCACGCTCGCAGGGGGCAGCCACATGTCTTCTGTGGCCAATCATTTTTACAGTGCTGATAGATGTCTAGAGAGCATGATGTTACCTAGAGATTTAAACCTGTGTCCCCCTTATCAGGCCCAGCCTCAGATGCCTCTTGTACAGGTGGACCCTTGGCTGTAGACCATAGTGAGTGGCCAGACACACTGGACCCAGTCAACTGTACATTCTGGGTGGTTTCCAGGCAGCAAATAGAAGAAATAATTTTTATCTGGCATTTGGAAGAAAAGGGTGTTATCCCTTACTTTTTACTTTTCTGAAATCGGATTCTTAATGCCAGATATTATGAACAGAGCATGCTGGTATCACCCTGTGCTTCTCTGACTCTTGGTTGTGTAATGTATTTATCCATTTCAATGCCCATGGCTTTCAGTACAACCTGTTGTGTATGTTCCACAATGTACCTCACCATACCTGTAAAGGCACTTCCAAATATTTTAAAAAGAAGAAATAAAACATGTTGGATGATTTCTTGTGTTAGTAAGACAATTAATTGGTAGGTTCCAGGAAAGGATCTCTTCAAAAAGACATTCCAAGGAAGATACTGAGAAATCCTCAAGTTGTACATAGAGGTGGCCATAACTACATTGTCATAGTTGTCATTGTCATGGACATCTATTGTCTGAGACCCTCAGAGTTAGAGAAAATAATGACTTATTTAAGTCTGAGAGAAAGATTCCAGGAGAAACAGGCTGCCCTTGAGTTCCAGGGAAAATCTCGAGAACTTGTTGAGTCCAAGTCTTGCTCATCACTGACATTCCCAAGTGGCCCTGAGTGTCTATAGCTAAGACAGGCAAATTCAGTTCTTGGAGAAGGCCAAGAAAAGTCCCTATTTCCATAAAGCTTACAAAGTTGAATTTTAATGAGAGAAAAAAACTTTATTCAAATGTGTCCCTGCCAGACAGGGGCTGTTAGTTCTATGTTTAAAACTGGAGACGCAGGAAAACTCACGCAGGCGCCAATTGCATTTAACTCGGGAACAACTAGAATACTTCTGTACATTGTGCTTCCAGGGCTTCACACATGTAGCCACGGAAGGCACCCTGCTGTACCACACTCCTGCCCTGTATTGACAGTTGGTTCCAATGTCTGTTGCCTGAGCTGGAGTCTGTAGAGAGGACCAACCATGTGAGAATTCATTCAGCTTTAGAAATACCCTCCACGACAGGGTAAGGTTGATGTCAGGCAGCCGTGGCATGAGCATGAGCTCTGCCCATGTTCCCCGGCTCACTGTGATGCTCGCAGGTTCTACAGCACTTGTCAGCAGCAGCGTCATGAGCAGTACTCTACTGTTAGAGAGGAATTTACTGAACACCTGTATCGTCGTGCCAAGGACAGTAACTTCCAGCACCGAGAAGGGATGGCCAGCATACGCATGCTATGGGCCCAGCTCTCCTTCGTAGAGGTGAAAAAACTTAAGAAGTCAACATCTTCAAGAAGTTTGGTGCCACTTTGGAGCAAGGGTAATGTGCAGGTGAGTGTCCCTGAGGTCCTGAACTGCCCATGAGCACTCTGCTTGGCATTGGAGGTCACACGGGTCCCTGCTGCTGACAATGTGGCATCTTTGTCAGGTCTGCTGCATTTAAATATGTAACTGGCCCAGGTGCAGAACACTCATGTGGCTTTATACAATTGATTTTTAAAGCAGTTAAAAATGGAGAAGAGATATGCATTTATACCATGTTTATAAGCACCTGATCACCTTTTCCAATGCCACCTGTCACCTGTCACCATCTGCTTTCATCCTGAAGGACTTTCTTTAGTATTTCTAATAAGGAAAATCTCCAGCAACAAATGCTCTCAGTGTTAGTTTCCTGGGCTGGCTTTATTTAGTTTTCCTTCTTGATATTTTTTCTAGATGTGGCATTTTGGGGTGATAATTTTTCTCATTAGTTTACACGCCATTCCACTCCCTCTTGGCCTCCACAGTTTCTGATGCAATAGAGTGTGACCTTGTTGTTGTTCCCTGGTATATGAGGAGTTATTCTTCTCTTGATACTTTTAACATTATTATTACTATGTCAGAGTGTGGATCTCTTTGCATTTATCCTATCTGAAGTGTTTTGAGCTTATCAGGGGTATAGATGAATGTTTTCTATTAAATTTGGGAAGTTTTCAACTGTTGTTCTCTTAAAACTTTTCCCTTTCCTGCCTATACTCTCTTTGTATATTGGTGTATTTAATGGTTTCATACAAGTCTCAGAGGCTTTCTTTTTCTCTATTCTTTTTTCTTCTGTGTTCCTTGTGTTTTTTTTGGATTATATAATCTCTATCAATATATCTTTTTCACTGAGTATGTCTTCTGACAATTTCAACCTGCGGTTGGGCCTGTTTCATATATATATCTCCATGTAGAATAAGTGATATGAATAGCAGCACAAGGAGGGTTAAATGAAGGGACACTGCTAACAGTTCTGCATTATACATGAAGTGCTCTATATCTGTGCTATTAGGTGATAACTAGTGATCTAGGATAAGACTGAAAATGCAGCAAGGTATATTGAATAAGGTCATAGAAGAGAAAAATTGGAACACCAAATAATACTTGATTAATATGAAGAGTTGTTTGACAGAAGGGGAAAAAAAGAAGAGGTGACAACTAGAAATCAAATGACTGAGGCCCACTCTATCAGCATGTCAGGATTAATAGGAAGAGAGCCATCTGAAGTTCATAAGAGACATACTTTATTTTTAACATTTGTTCTTTTTAGATACACATGGCAATCAAGTGTATTTTGATTATATAACTTATCCTAATTAGGATCTCATTCTTGTGTGTTGTACATGATGTGGAGTTTCACTGGTTGTGTATTCATATATGAACATAGGAAAGTCATGTCTGATTCATTCTACTGTCTTTCCTAATCCCATTCCTGCTCCCTTCCCTTCATTCCCCTTTGTCTAATCTAATGAACTTCTACTTCCCCTGCCCTTATTGTGTTAGCATTTACATTTACATAGCAGAGAGAACATTTGGCCTTTGGCTTTTTTGGATTGGCTTATTTCACTTAGCATGATAATCTCTAGTTCCATTTATTTACCAGCAAATGTCATAATTTCATTCTTCTTAATAGCTGAGTAATATTCCATTGTGTGTATACACAGATTTTATTTATCCATTCATCTGTTGAAGGGTACCTAGGATAGTTCCATAGCTCAGCTATTGTGAATTGAACTGTTAAAGCATCTATGTGGCTGCATCACTGTAGTATGCTGATTTTAAATCCTTTGGGTATATACTGAGGAATGAGATGACTGAGCACAATGGTGGTTCCATTCCAAGTTTTCTGAGAAATCTCCATACTGCTTTCCAAAGTGGTTGCACCAATTTGCAGCCCCACCAGCTATGGATAAGAGTACTTTTTCCCCCACATCCTCACCAACATTTATTGTTGCCCGTATTCTTGATAATTGCCATTCTGCCTGGAGTAAGATAGAATCTCAGTGTAGTTTTAATTTGAATTTCTCTACTTGCTAGTGATGTTGAACATTTTTTTTCATATTTTTGTTGACCTTTCATATTTCTTCTTTTGTAAAATGCCTGTTCAGTTCTTTTGCCCATTTATTGATTTGGTTATTTGGTTTTTGGTGTTAAGTTTTTGAGTTCTTTGTATATTTGGAGATTAATGTTCTAGCTGAGGATTAGGTGGCAAAGATTTTTTTTCCCATTCTTTAGACTCTCTTTTCACATTCTGGATTGTTTCCTTTGCTGTGAAGAAGCTTTTTAGTTTGATACCATCCCATTTATTGATTTTTGATTTTACTTCTTGTGCTTTAGGAGTCTTGTTGAGGAAGTCAGTTCCCATGCTGACATGATGGAGAGTTGGGCCTGCATTCTCTTCTAGTAGGTGCAGGGTCTCTGGTCCAATGCCCAAGTCCTTTATCCACTTTGAGTTGAGTTTTGTGCAGGGTGAGAGAGAGGGGTTTCATTTAATTTTGCTACATATGGATTTCCAGATTTCCCAGCACCATTTGTTGAAGAGTCTATCTTTTCTCCAATGTATGTTTATGGCACCTTTGTCTAGCATGAGATATAGCTGTGTATATGTGGGTTTGAAGAGACATACTTTAAATGTGAAGAAACAAAAAATAAAAGTTTGAAAGAAGATATAATATTCAACACAAATAAGTTTTCCAGTGTGACTAGGCAAATATCAGATAAAGTAGACTTTATAAAAGAAGGGTCATTACCTCAAACGGATACCATCATCATCATCATCATCTTTTCCCTCCTCCCCTCCTTCTCGTCATTGTCCTCCTCCTCCTTCTTCACTATCACCACCACAACAACATGGTCAGCTTATTGATATGAAAATCCTAAGTGGACATGCACTAAAAATAGAACTTCAAATTAAATGAAGCAAAAATAGCAGAACTGAAGGGAAATTTGAGAAATCTATCAATTTATCTGCATGGAGATTTCAACACTCTTATCTGAGAACTGATAATAATACGAAAAAATTAAAATATAGTTAAGTGGAACTATGCCAATCATTTAAATTTAAATATATTTTTTGAGTTCTTTGTATATTCTGGATATTAGGGCTCTATCTGAAGTGTGAGGGGTAAAAATTTGTTCCCAGGATGTAGGCTCTCTGTTTACCTCTCTTATTGTTTCTCTTGCTGAGAAAAAACTTTTTAGTTTAAGTAAGTCCCATTTATTTATTCTTGTTATTAACTCTTGGGCTATGGGCGTCCTATTAAGGAATTTGGAGCCCGACCCCACAGTACGTAGATCGTAGCCAACTTTTTCTTCTATCAGATGCAGTGTCTCTGATTTGATATCTAGCTCCTTGATCCATTTTGAGTTAACTTTTGTGCGTGGCGAGAGAAAGGGATTCAGTTTCATTTTATTGCATATGGATTTCCAATTTTCCCAGCACCATTTGTTGAAGATGCTATCCTTCCTCCATTGCATGCTTTTAGCCCCTTTATCAAATATAAGAAAGTTGTAATTTTGTGGATTGGTTTCTGTGTCCTCTATTCTGTACCATTGGTCCACCTGCCTGTTTTGGTACCAGTACCATGCTGTTTTTGTTACTATTGCTTTGTAGTACAGTTTGAACTCTGGTATCGCTATACCTCCAGATTCACACTTCCTGCTTAGAATTGCTTTTGCTATTCTGGGTCTTTTGTTTTTCCATATGAATTTCATGATTGCTTTATCCATTTCTACAAGAAATGCCGTTGGGATTTTAATTGGCATCGCATTGAACCTGTAAAGAACTTTTGGTAATATCGCCATTTTGATGATGTTAGTTCTGCCTATCCATGAACAGGGTACATTTTTCCATCTTCTAAGATCTTCTTCAAAAAATTAAACAATAAGATAACAAATAACCCAATCAACAAATGGGCCAAGGACCTGAACAGACACTTCACAGAGGAGGAGATACAATCAATCAACAAGTACATGAAAAAATGCTCACCATCTCTAGCAGTCAGAGAAATGCAAATCAAAACCACCC